AGATGATAAGAAAAAGATTCTCTATGATAAAAAGGCAATCAATCTTCTTCAAGGTACACTTAGCATGGATGAATTCTTCTGTGTCTCAGCATGCAAAACGACGAAAGAAATACGGGATACCTTGGTACAAACTCATGAAGGAACTGTTGAAGTTAAAAGATCAAGACTAAATACTTTAAGTCAAGAATACGAGTTATTTGGAATGCAGCTCGAAGAAACCATCCTTGACTTGTAAAAGAGATTCGTGCACTTGACAAATCATCTAAGTGCTCTTGGTAAGACTTTGGCGAATGATGAATTAAATCTGAAAGTACTTAGATCCTTAACTAGGGAATGGAAACCAAAGGTAACGGAAATTTCGGAAAAGAAAAGTCTTTCTTCAATGACTTCCCCAACATTATTTGGAAAACTTCAAGAATATGAAACGGAACTCAGAAGACTTGAAAAACATGAAAATCAAGAGAAAAAATCCAAGAATATTGCCTTAAAGATTGATTCAAAGGAAGTTGAAAAGGAAGACAATGCGGAAGAAGATGAAAATTTCATGCTTCTTGTTAAAAGGCTTGGTAAGTTCTTTGGTAGAAATGAAAAATCCCTTTCTCATGCAAAAAGAAAGAAACAATTTAAGAAAAGGGAAGCTTCCACATCAACGCAAGAAGTCACATGTTATAAATGCGGTAAGCAAGGTCATATCAAGCCGGATTGTCCAAAACTCTCCAAGAGAGGTGGCTACAAAGGCAAAAAGGAATTTAAAAACAAAAAAACCTATGTTGCATGAGAGGATAATGAAATAAGTTCTTAGTCCGATTCCGATAGTGATGAAAGTGAAAATCTAGCATTGATGGCCTCATACCATTATGATAATGAAGATGATGAGGTTAGTAATGAATTTTCTCTTTTTGATAGTGATGCAAAAGGTGCTATAGATGAACTATTAAATGAATGCAAAATTTTGTATAAAACTATTTCATCTCAAAACAAACAAATTTCATCTTTAGAAGAAAAATGTGAAACTATCGAAAAAGATTTCAAAGATGAAAAACAAAAATTAAGTGATGAACAAAAACATAATTTTGTAAGCAAAAATTGTGAATCACTCTCTTTCTAAATTGTCTAATTAAAAAGAGTTATTGAAAGATATGAAAAAGGTCAAATTGGATTGGAAGGTGTTCTTAGCCAACAAAGATATTCCAATGATAAAAGTGGACTTGGATATTCAAAGTTTTCAAAACTAAGTTCTAATAAAATTATCTTTGTTAAGGCTAGTGATCAATCATCCAAAGAGAAAGTGAAAAAACTAAAGTGGTTCATCATTATCCTAAAAAGAAAACATTTCCTAAGAAGAAATCTTACCCTTCTATATATAGAAGTAAATTTGAACCTACTTGTTTTTATTGTGGTATTAAAGGCTACACACCTAATACTTGCTATGTTAGAAACTTTAGTGTGACAAGTGAGTATTATGTGTGGGTAAAGAAAGGTACTAATTATGAAGGACCCAAAGCAACTTGGATACCTAACAAAACCTAAATTGTTTTGTAGGTATGCTTGAAGACCACATGCAATCTTTGGTATCTTGATATTGGTTGTTCAAAGCATATGACGGGAGACATAAACCAATTTTCAAATCTAGTGCTAAAGACCAAGAGTTTTGTCACTTATGGAGATAATAATAAGGGAAGAATTTCTGGGAAAGGCAAAGTTGGTGCTCCACCTTTCACATCCATTAAAGATGTTCTTTATGTTGAAGGACTAAAGCACAATCTTCTAAGTATTAGCCAATTATGTGACAAAGGCCTCCAGATCAAGTTCACCAAAGATGAATGCTTGATAGAAGACGAAATCACACATGAGGTTATACTTAAAGGTAAAAGAATTAATAATATATTTATGATTTCCCTTGATGATCCATCTTTAAAGGTAAAATGTCTCATGGCGAACAACGGTGATTCATGGCTTTGGCACAAAAGAATTGCTCATATTCATATGGAACACTTGAATAAATTAATCAAGCATGATCTTGTCATTAAGTTGCCTAAGAGAAATTTTGTCAAAGATAGACTTTGTGATGCTTGTAAAAGAGGGAAACAAACAAAATCAACTTTCAAATCTGAGAATGTGGTGTCTACTACAAGACCACTACAATTGTTGCATATGGACTTATTTGACCCATCAAGAATAAGAAGTTTCGGAGGTAGTGTATATGCTTTGGTTATTGTTGACGATTTTTCTATATATACTTGGACATTCTTTTTAGTGCAGAAAAGTGATGAATTCAAGGCTTTGAAAAAGGTAAAGTTGACAAGACTTTGTTTATCAATAAAATAAAAGGTGACACTTTGCTAGTTCAAGTCTATGTTGACGATATCATCTTTGACTTGTCAAACAAAAAAATGTGTGAAGAATTTTCAGCAATGATGCAAGGCGAATTTGAGATGTCCATGATGGATAAAATGAATTATTTTCTTGGACTTAAAATCAAGCAATTAAAGGATGACATTTTCATCAACCAATTTAAGTATTGCAAAGAATTGTTGAAAATATTTGACATGAATAATTATAAATCTATGACTACACCAATGAGTTCTGATACATACATTGATCAAGATGAATCAAGTGTCTCTATTGATACAAAATATCGAGGTGTGATTGCCTCCTTATTATATTTGACAGCAAGTCGTCCGGACATAATATTCAGTGTTTGTCTATGTGCTCGCTTTCAAGCAAATCCAAAAACAAAAAATATGATTTAATAATATTCTATCTAACTCGTTCACTTTATTTAAACTATTTTTATAAGTGCTAAGAGAGTGAAATACATAAAGTAGAGTTGTGTGCGTCTGCTGTTATGATTATATCTTGTTGCAATTGTAATTCAAGAGCTTAATCATCTTATAACATTGTTAGTGATATAAATGCTGCAAGTTTTACTTGTGCAAAAGCTTGGTGTAAGAAGGTTGTGGGTTGAACCTAGTGTAAAAGCTCAAATATGTTATTGGAAATTTCTCAGAGAAACTATTGGGGAATGAATTAGGCCGCATGGTTTTAAACATAACTAATATAAAATCAATGTGATATTTATATCTATTATCTCTTTTTATTTTTGCATTTTATATTTCACTCATATTTCTCTGCTTCATCTTATTAAAATTTACCAGCCTTTAAAATCAACCATTTGTTAAAAAGTTTTCAAAAACCAAATAGCATAATTCACCTCCATCTTCTGTGTTGAATTCACTTGGTCAACATATTTAAGATTCAAATTATTAAAGTATTATTTTCTTGGACGCATGTGATAAGAGTATCCTGACTCAATGACCAGACTATAATATATGAGGCAACTATAATATGAACATAATCACTCTTTTCCCCATACCAAGAGAATCCTTCTCGAATTGACCGATTTTATGACAAGTAACACATTTTAATCTTTACTTATAAAAAAATCGTGGATTTGAACTTCCATTTGCTCTCAGATCTTCCTCTTCAAACACTTAAGCCTTCAACAATATTATCAACCTTCAAATATTTCATCTGTAATAACTCTTTGGACCTTACAAGTGTATGAACTTCATCCAAGGTAATGATACATTCCTTACCATAAAGAGAGGTATCACTGAAGTGCCCAAAAAATCTAGGTAATAAGCATAATAAGAGTAGAACATTATCCTCATCCTCAATTTTCACCTGAATATTTTATAAGTCATCAGTAATCTTGTAAAATTATCTCAATTTCTCCATAATGAATTTGTCCTCTACCATTTGAAATGAGTTTAGTTATTGTTTCATACATAATCCGTGAGCTAAGGACTTGGTAATATAGAACGATTCATACTAGACCCACATCTCCATATTAGTTTTTCCTTATAGACTTCTATTTAAACTAGGTACAAGATAATGACACTTCTGGTCTATAAACCATCTAACTTTTTTTTATTTATATTTTTATGTTAGGTGTCCAAGCATCGGCGTCTCACCCTTCCACGTTTTGGCACACTTTTGTTGAGTTAATTTTGCTTGCATATTCATTTTCCACAACACAAAATCATTGTCTCTAGAAAATGCTTCAATGTCTCATTTGAAACCGATGGTTCTCACTTGTAATCTTAACCCCTTTCCCATAGGTGAATGCCACTTGTTGTGAAATTGGATTGCAAATATGAGACACACCAAGAATGTTATTGTGCATGACAAAGAATAATGAAAACTAAAATAAATAATATTGAGCAAAATTAATCGACTAAACAATGTAAAAATATACACACAAACAAGAATAAAATAAAATAATAGAACACACAATTGATTTATCCACTTCGGTCAAATCAATATACTATAAGGAGAGAATAATTTCCAATCCACCATATTTCAAGAGTTGTTACAAGATATTACAAGATGAATTATAAGAAAAATTCTTCTAAGTCCACAACAATATTTCCTATTTTCTACCCAAATATTTTCTAATCTTTTCTCCTTTCAATATATGAATCACACGAATTCAAATTGTTTAAAAGTGTTTCCTTATCCCTTTAGATTACAAAAAATCTTATATAATTCTTAGAACAATCAAATCCAAAAATTTTCTACCTTCAATTCTCTAAATTTCTCTAATTAGGATTTCACCTCTTTTCCCATTCTACAAAAGTAACAAAGAATCACGCATGTAAAGGTTGGAAACCTTAATGGACCATAATTTTGGCCGACTAACAACCCAAACTAAGCCGCCCCTAAACTGACACCATGTCACCAACTCTCCCCGCCGAGAAAGGAAGAGTAACTCAGAATTGGAATGTACTAATAGTAAAACGTGGTGGTTCATATAGTAACACTGGTTATTTTTTATTTTACCGGGCCCAATATCCCATCTTTAAGTGTCAAAAACGTAATTAAAGTTGAAGTTCAGGGTTGATGTGTGAAGAATACATGTCTGCAAGAAACCCTAAATAAACCCTAACCAGTAACACGAACGATTCAGAGTAGTTGGGTTGAAGAATCCTTTTCGCATGCCTGCAAATCCATCAGGTGTCAAAGGAATTTCAACCCTCTTCGCTTTCACTCCTCGCCAAGTGTTGTTAAGCAACCGAACCATGAAGCACGACGCAGACAACGGAACCGTGAAATCGGAACAGAAGGTGAAGCTTTTTCTTCATCAATCTATTGCTCTTTACTTGGAGCATTCTGGATTCTCCAAAACCCTGAAAAAGTTTCGCTCTGAAGGGAAAATCGAGGTTCGTAACTTATGATGTGTTTATAAGCTGTTTTCAACTTATTTCCACAAGTTTTTTAGAATACCGAATGAAAACAGCTTATAGCTTTTATGAATTTGAGTTAGCGTTTGTTTGGATAAACAACTTATTTGGAGCTTATAGCACAAGTGCTTGTCGAAATAAGCACTTACAAAAAAGTTTGCATAAGCTATTTTTCTAACGAAAGATAAAATAAATTTAAATTATTTTTATATGTGCTATAAATTGTTTTCATAAGTTATCTTTGAGAACTTATAAAAATAAGCTCAAAAAAGTTTATGAATAATGCTATAATAGTCCTTATAAGATTGTTGGTGATCATGGGCAAGTCTGATGGTATGACGAAATTTCTAAATGAAATGAAACGCAGAAGCTAATTTCAAAGTTATGCAAAAAATTATTGTATAAAAAACTCGTACGGGCCTGTATAGACTTGTTTTAGTTTGGTTTGTAAGTTATGAGAACTTATCAATTAAAGCATGTTTCTGATTGTTCATTCACGACCATGTTCTGTAAGCTCATCAGTGTTTACACATTAATGAAGAATATCAATGACAGATTTTGCTGGATTTTCCTACTGTTTTACATTGTTGCTACTGCTTGTAATGCAGAAAGGTAATACAGAGGGTTCAACAGTTGATCTAGAAGAATTGTGCCGCAAACATTTAGAAACAAGGTAAAGCCAACAGCCCTAACTTCGTTAGTAAACACTGTTGAATTCTGTAAACTGTACACTGACCAGTGGTTTGCAACAAGTGCAAAACTAAACCTAGTTTTCTGTGCAAACTACTTGATGTAAAGTATAACAGGTTGGTTTGGTTACCGATGGATGGCTTTTATCAAACCGACCCGCCCGTTTAAACCCACACAAAAATAAAAAATGTGAACCCAGACAGACCTGGTTTCACCCGCCCATGTGTCATTTTTTCGGTTTGGATTTTGCATTTTGGTATGGGTTGCGGGTATCTGTCCACCGCCGTTGTCTGATGATGTTGAGGTTCCATGTATCAAGAATATCAATTATTGCTTAGAAAAGTTGGACACCTGTCATAGTTGTTAATAACATACTATAGCATAGAAGAGAAGCATCTGGCCACTAAGATTTTCAGTGTTGCAATTTTCATTAGTGGTGGTTGCTTCACAAATTGTCTATGGCGGATGGCATGTACGCTATACCATTCTGCTATGGCTGCTATTTTATAACACTGTATAGTATAAATCATATATCCATGATTTGTTATCTTCAGAAAAAAGTTATCCCTTTATCCTCAATATCATCACTATAACATTTGTGTGGTTGGCCGTTCTGCACCACAATCTAAAATTGATAATTATGAGACACATGATTGGAAGTTGCAATTTCACTTTTCTAATTGCTGCTGCCAGTTAGTTATATAATTTTCTAATTGCAATCTCACTTTTCTAATTGCTGCTGCCAGTTAGTTATATGATTTTCTAATTGCAATCTCATTTTTCTAATTGCTGCTGCCAGTTAGTTATATAATTTTCTAATTGCAATCTCACTTTTCTAATTGCTGCTGCCAGTTAGTTATATAAGTTGCAATCTCACTTTTCTAATTGCTTTCTGTTCTGGTTTTTCTTTTCTTTTCAGTAGCAAGGATGCTAAGTCAGCTATCGATGATCAAAAGATGCAAGGTATGCTTATAAATCCTTGAAATAGTGAATTCTTTATCCTTTCTCAGAGTTAGATTTGCTTGCTTATCTATTTCTGTTGCTACTTGAGTCGTGGCAGATAAGTCTTAATTGCGATTTTCTAATTACCTGCTAGTTGCAGGTCTGCACTCCAAAAATGAAGTGGAAAAGTCCAAGGGAAAAAAGAAAAAGAAAAGCGGCTTAGTTTCTGAATCTGTTCTTAATAACGTTGAAGATAACCAACTGGAGTCACCGACTGTGGTTACAGAAGATAAAGTTAAGGATGATTTATCCACAGATGCCAAAGTTGATAATGGTGCTGAGACAGAGAAGCAGTCCAAACATAAATCGAAAAAGAACAAAAAGTCCAATGTTGAAGGGGATGCGAAAGAGCAGATTGCAGTTACAGATAATAAAGAGAAGGAAGATTTATCCATAGATGCCAAAGCTGAAAATGGTACTGAGACAGAGAAGAAGTCCAAGCATAAAAAAAAGAAGAAAGATAAGTCAAAAAGTGATGGGGATGCAAAAGAGCAGATTGGAGATCCTGATGCAGCTGTTTCAGAAAAAGAGAATTTCAAAGCATCCAATGAAGAAGCAACGCCTGAGAAGAAAGATTCTAAGAAAAGGAAAAGATCAAGTTCTAAAGAAAATGGTGATCAAGATACCGAAATAAAGGAAGATGAAGAAACCAAACGCAGAAAAATAGAAGATTTGAAAGAATCTCAGGGTGGAGATCAATCAGCCAAAACTGATGGGCACTATGAGAATGGGGCAGAAAAATCTTCTGAGCAAAAGTCTCAGAAGAAAAAGAACAAGGAGTCAGTTGAGGTATGCCATAACTAGTTTTAATTCTTTTTGAATATGTACTTTGCTTCCTGACCTATAGATATGGCTCTTTGAAATCAGTCAATGAGCTTGTTTTTTTCTCTCCATTTAAGTTAGAATATGCTTTTTTCCCCTTATTATAAAGAAAAAATGTTTTCTTTAGAGATCTAGAACACCGACCTATTCCTATGATTTCTTGAATAGTCTAAAACTTATTGTTTCCGGTTATTCTGTTTGCTGGTGTCCCTTTAAATTAAATAGTGGGCTATTATTACCATTTGCTATATGTTTGTCTTGATGCTCATATTTATACTGAGTCATATGTAGTATTTAGAACTCGAATTTCACTGCTGAAGCTAATATTTATGTTGGAATTTTTGTCTGACCAATGAAATTGCAGAAAAAACCAGCGAAGGCGCCATTTCAGCGAGTACAAGTTGATAAGATAGAGTTTGTTGATGAGAGGCTTCAGGATAACTCTTATTGGGCAAAGGTGTGATAAATTGATATGTTTTCCATGCAGTTAATGTTGTGGTTATTGTTCCAGTTGCATTATCTAAGAAATGTGTATGTGTCTATCTGTCTGCAGGGTGGTGCTGAGAGTGGATATGGTGCAAAAGCAGAAGAAATTCTTGGCCAAGTCAGAGGAAGGTCAGTTGTTGAGTAATTTTAAGTTCCAATGTTTGCACATGTATTACATGCATAAAAATGTCAATACTTGTTTTAGTGTATAGTATTGTAAAATTAATGCTCTCATTCATTTTTTCAAACCCTTTTTATGCCATATTCGGCTAACTGATAATTGATTTACAATTTGTGCAATTTCTTCAATACAACACCTTTAGCACTGTCTTATTTTACTTTTTGATGGCATCAATATCTCTTAACAGGGATTTTCGTCATGAGAAGACGAAGAAGAAACGTGGGACCTATAGAGGAGGAGTTATTGATTTAAACTCCCACTCAGTTAAGTTTAATTATTCAGATGAGGAGTGAGTGAAAATCATATTGGTCTAATTTATTTTTTCTTGTCAAGAAATTGTTTTCATGTTTATTTTTTCTTGTCAAGAAATTGTTTTCATGTTTGCTACCGGAGCACCATGCTAAAGCCGGTGTTATCATTGAAATTTTGCTAAATTATGGTTCATTTAAACAATATTTGTTCGATTGAACAATACTATTTTGACAGTTATACGAATTTTGTTGTGCTGCTAAGTGATTAGATTCTGTGGTGGGATTCTCCAGTTTAATTTAATTGATTCTGAGTTTTTTTTGGTTTAACACCATTTTTTAAAACTGAATTCAGAATTTCGATGAGAAGTGAGGTCTGATTAGATTAACGTTTTGTTCAATTGTGATTTGAACTCGATCAGCATTTAAGAAAAAATTGTCCTAATTGGGGTTCATTAATCATTTGATCACTTGGTTGACAAAGTGTGTTTTGTTATTATATAAGATATAAGATTTTTTTTAATTTAATTATGTATTTGTCGAGTAAAACATGCGACCCTTCCTTTCTTTGGCTTCTGGTGGGTGCTATTTAATTAGCTTTATTACTGGGCGGTTGTGCTTGTTGAGTTATAAGTATGTTAGTATTCTGATTAAAAGTTTTTTTTTTAAAACGTAAAAATAAAAATATTTTTTCAAATTCAAATGAAGTTTGCAACCTTTACATCAATTTTAACTTGCAGAAGAATAAGTCACTATTAATTTTGAACCCCAAACTAACATTCACATCATCCCTCTCGGAGTATTATAGCCAGCTGACAATTAAAAAAAACGTCTAAATCTAGAACCGAAAACAGCTCATTCGAACCAGAGATTCTTCAATTGAACATGATAACCTCTTATCTAGCCAAATGTCCACACCAAAACCCCACCCTTCACTGACTCTAGAGTAATTCCTCCCCATAAGAAACCCACCATATACTCCATATTTAGCCGCGAGCACCTTATACCATAAACCTTCCTTATTAGGATGCAACATCCCCCATCACTTATTTAACAAGGCTAAATATAACTAGATTACACTTTGTCCTGATAGATCTTAAGGACTTTTCCAACATCCTCACCCCCATGTAAAATATTTATTCAATAGAAAATATTATACTTGTATGAGCTTTAAATAAGAAAATAAAGTAAATAGAGAAAGACATCAAGACATGTTTGATTAGCACAAGATGATCACCCATGGATAAGTTTAAGATGAGGACACGAGAGATGCCCCAATAAGATGAGTGGAGATTTTCTCCATTTCTCAAAAGAAATGGAAAGTATAATAACTATAATATTGATGTATAAATTACATATTATGCAAAATATATGTTACATATTTTAATATTATATAAATTTATACATTAATACTATAGTAATTGTAATTTCTATTTCTTTTGAGAAATGAAAAGAATCTTAATTTCAATAAGACGATCGAAAAACTAAAATAAAATTTGATCAACTAAAATAAAATTTGATCAATTTTAAATTTAGTATCGCTAAAACTTCCACCAATCATGAATTCGGGATGTTAACTCTGGACAAAAAGGCTTTTGTAGAATTTAACTTTCAACCTCAATATCAATTAAAAAAATCAAGACCGCCTTTGAAGATTTAATATTTTCCAACTCTTATCGCACTGGACCAAGGCATCGTCAACAAATTCAAAGTGGGATAAAATGTAAACAAATTATATCCATGCCAACTGTTTTAAGTAAAAAATTATCCAATCCAAAGATATTCATGTGTTAAAAAATCTAGAGATTAATTGTTGTGTATAGTTATTGTAAATTTCTTTATACAATTAATCAGATGTTACTTTATAAATTATGAGATTGAAAAACAAACATTATTAAAGATTCAATGACTATGATTAATTGACAGTATAATTTTTTTTTACATATAATCAGTGTATATCAATTAAATTTAAATATTTATACTAACAATAATATGATTGATGCAAGGAATATAAATAGGATTAGTGATGTCACTTTTTTTATACATATTGAAAAATAATATTTTTTCTTAAAAATCTATAATAGACACACTCTTAATCTTAACCATATAATTTTTTACCGGATATTGCAAATTCCTAACTCCACTAGTAATTGCAATATTTTTTTTTATATAAACTTAAAGGAGATATACAGAGAGTCTATTTTTTTTTTATAATGTTGATTGAATAAAAATATATCATTTTATTATTTTATTATGTTATATAAATTTAAATTAAATATATTTTTGGTCCCTCTAATTATTACAGTTTTCAAGTTTAATTCTTCTAAATATTTATTTTAATGAATCGTTTCTCTAAACTTTTCTATCCATATCACTAGTCTCTGACGTCAAATGGAATTAACAGCAACCTACGTAGCATGACACTTGTAATATAATTTCATTTAACATTATTTTGTATGGTCTATGATATATTTATTGTCTTCATACGTGACATGTCTATGATATATTTATTGTCTTCTTACGTGACATTTGTCATATTAATAAAAATTTTGTAATCCAAATTTACCAAACATATACTAAAAGTAATCTTAAAATTTCTCTCTTGTTCCTCTGGCTCAATGCTCTTCTTCGTTTGAAGTGGAGTTGAAGCTTGACTTACAATTTTCATTGGTCTCACAAATAATCAATAGCTTTGGTCCCAAGTGAGCTGAGTTAATGAAGTTTTTTTGTATTTTGATTTGTTTATGGTACTCACTTGTCCGACATGATTTTTTTGTGCACTTTGTGTTGAGAGGACCACTGTGTTGTTTTGTATTAGTGTTAATCGATTTTGTGGACCACTTTTTTGTTAATGTGTAATTTATCCTCTTTACAAGATGGGTACATTCAAGGTTGTGTTTTTTACAAAATAGTCTTTTGTAAAAGACCCAACTATTAGGTACGATGGTGGGGACATTTTCGCATGTAGTGGATAAGACCCAAATTACTAGTCGTTCTTTGAGGCTCGTGACCTTATCAAAGCGATGGACATTACATTTAATGTAGATGAAGTAAAAATGTGGTGGAAGCATGAACGTGGTTCTTTTGAGAAATATCTTCAACCGTTTTGCAATGATGAATATGCCTTTACATTGGCTTTGTATGTTGTGTACAAGAAAGCTGATGTGAAAATTTACATAGAGATCAAAAGAAATACAAGTGAATTGACCTACATGAAGAGGCTTATAGAGAGACAAAAGGGGCATTAAAGTGATGAGGGAGACATTGATGAGGACTATGAACCAAGTGAAGGTTCTCTCGATAGTATTCACTTTGATGATAGTGGAGAGGGGAGAATACAAGATTTGGATGGAGAACTTGAAGAAAGAATCAACATTGGAGGTGTGCTTAGAAATGCGAATGTTCAAACTGAAGGTCACAGTAGTGGCTTTATCACAAGGGATATGGATAAGGAACATATTATAATAGAAGAATACTTGACAAATGAGCTTGATAGTGGGGCTGAAGACAACTGCGATGATAGGCCTCCTATAATTAGGTACATTGAAAATGATGCAATTATGAAAGATTTCAAGTTCAAGCTAGGGATCAAGTATTTCTCTTTGAAGAAATTTAAGAAAGCTGTTATGGAGTACAACGTTCGGAATGGTAGAGAGGTAACATTTGCTAAGAATGATTCTAATAAGTGTATGGTTGTGTATAAAGAGAAGAATCTATGTGACTATACTGCCATATGTAGTAGAGTTTTAATGACTACAACATTCAAGGTCAAAACACTATTTCCTAAACACAAATATGGTAGGCAATTCTTCAATAAGAATGCCAAGGCTGAGTGGGTTACAATTGTTATAGTTGACAGGCTGAGGAACAATTCTAAGATGAGGTTATCAGAAGTTGTGGCTAGATGTTAGAACTAGGTTTTCTATTGAGATCACTGGCAACAGAGCTTTTAAAGTTAGACAGTTGGCAAGACAAGTTATTGAAGGATATGCAAGCAAGAAATACAATATGTTATGGTCCTATGGGGCTGGGTTAAGGAAAGCATCTGCAGGAAATACCTTCAAACTAAACATTCACACACTTGGACTAGAGATGCAGCCAAGATTTGAAAAATGTTATATATGCTTTGATGGGACCAAAAAGGCCTTGACTAAATCATGTAGACCCTTCATAGGTTTAAATGGTTGTCACCTAAAGAAAAAATATGGTGGAATTTTACTAATTACAGTTGGGAGGGATCCCAATGATCAGTATCTGCCCATTACATTTGGTGTTGTAGAGACTGAGTCTAAGGAAACATGGATCTAGTTCATGAAGTTAATTATTGAGGATATTGGTGAGAAGAGATGGTGTTTTATGCCAGATCAACATAAGGTATGTACATTAACTGCTATTCATTTGTCAATTTCTTTATTATATGTTATTAATTAAGTGGAAATATACTATTATTTATCAGGGACTTGTTCAAGTATTTGAAGAGGAATATCCTGCATATGAACATAGGTTCTGTTTGAAGAATTTGTATGCAAAATTTAAAAAGAAGTTTGGTGGTGGGACATTATTCAGAGATCTCATGATGGTTGTTGCCAAGGATACATACTTTGAAGCACATGAGGCAAAAATGATGGAAATCAAGGAGGCTAGTTCAGAAGCTTTTGAGTGGTCAAATGCAATTCCAAAACATAAATGGTGTAAGCATGCCTTTTCATTATATTATAAGTGTGATGTTTTAATGAACAAGCTAAGTGAGTCATTTAATGCTACTATACTAATGCAAAGAGACAAACCCATTATAACCGTGTTTGAATGGATTAAGAACTACCTAGTGGGTAGGTTTACAACACTTAGGAAAAAGTTTGAAAATTACAAGGGTGAAATAATGTCAAAACCACTTAGGAGGTTAGATAGAGAGATAGAAAAAAGTGCTAGTTGGTTACCAACATATGAAGGTCAACTAAAGTTTCAGGTGACACATGTGATGTTTACAAACATTTTTGTTATAGACTTAGGAAAAGAAAGTTGTTCATGCAACTTTTGGGATTTGG